TCCACAGCAGGCCTACTAAGTAGGAACAAAGCATTCTGATGCCTGTCTTTGGGTTAGCAAGGAGAGTGCTGGGTGTAAGCCAAAAGCCAATGTTTCTTCCCTTTGCAGCCATTCTGTCTCACAGCAAGGACGAGTAGCCCTAATTCAAATATCTGAAGGAGATTCATGTGGAGAGGAGGTTTCCCTTATTCTTGAAGCTTCAGGGGGCAAAATGAGAAATAGGCAGGGCCACAGTGAAGAACAACAGTGCTTCTCTTAGGGCTGCTTGAATGAAGAACAGAACAAGTGGGAGTGGCAACAAGGTTGGTGTCTGTGATGAACTGAATGTCTGGGTTCTCTGCAATTCATATACTGTAACTCAAATCTCAATGTGCCAATGTTTAGGAGTGAAGCCGTGGGGAGGTAATTGGGTCACCAGGGTGATTATGTGAATAGGATTAGTGGCCCTTATAAGAAGACACGAGAGAGATAAGAGTTTTCCTGCTATGTGAGGACCCAAGATGGTGTTTGCAACCCAGCAGAGACCCTTGCTAAAACTGACCAGGCTGGCACCCTGCTCTCAAACTTCCAGCCTCTAATAGTGTGAGAAATAAGTTTCTGTTTCTGATGGGACTTTGGGACTTTTTTCTAGCAGCCCCAGCTAGGACATTCCCATCTTCCTGGTGTCTTCACCAAAACAGCTGAGGGCCACAGTGTACAGACCAAGGGAAGAAAGGTTCTGGCCTTCGTGACAGAGCCCTGAGCTTGAAGCAGCTACAGTCAGCTCCTCATCAACCCTGGCTCTGTGGCAGAAGGATGAGTCCCTGTGGCTTCAGTGACTGTCCTCCTGTCCCTGGTCCCTGTGCGGGGAACTCTCTTCCATCTAAAAGCCATCTCACCACAGAGGGGCCACCTAGCTTAGTAGCAGCCCCTCCTTTTAGCTTCACTGTAGCACTCACACCCAAAATGAGGAGATATCTGCACATCTGTCCTTGTTTCTGTCTGACTCCCAACCCTAGGACATAAACTCAGCAAAGGAGGGAGCATGCATGTTTTGTTCACTGGTGGACCCCGGCATTTAGATAGCAGGCTTCCTGTTGTCCTGTGGTGACTATCCAGCAGTCTCCTTTCCCTCTCTTATTTTTATTTTATTTTATTTTTTATTTTATTTTTTGGTACCAGGGATCGAACTCGGGTCCCTTGCTCTTGCGAGGCAGGCGGTGGAACCACTGAGCTAAATCCCCGGCCCTCCTTTCCCTCTCTTAGATGTCTCCTAGACACAGGTCTCTGGCCTGGACCAATTTTTTTTTTTTTTTGGTACGGGGGATCAAACTCAGGACCTCTGCTTGGGGACATGCAACCTGGATGTACACCCTTACTGGAGAAGGGACTTTGCACCCTTCTCCAGTACCCTGTGAAGAAGATACTCACACCCAGGTGTGTTTATGAGTCACCCTGGCATTGGTCTTGACAGCACCGTCATCGTCCCAGTTGTGTTTCTCTGGATGAGTTCTATACCAAACGGGATCTAGGAACTTTTTACTTGGAGCCCCTCAGGTAACCTATTGGAGAGAACAAGGTCATCTGCCAGCGTAACAAAAGAAAGTCAAAGTAAGGGAAAGTATGCAATATATCAAGAGATGATTATTGCAAAAAAAATTGTTTCTAAAAAAAAGTAAACAAATGCAATCACTTAAGCCTTTAAATATGCCATGAAAATAAGGTCAAGTCCCCAAGAGAAGAAAAGAACTTTGGCTTCTAATGATGTTGGGGTGGCGCAGACTTCATTCAACCTTGTGGAGATGAGCTGGATTTCTTTTTTTTTTCCTTAAATTCTTTTATTGGTACATTTTAGGTATACAATATGTTTACATTTATCATTGAGTGCTTGTACCTGTACATGATGTATCTTGGTTCTTATTTTTTCCCCATTCCCCTGCCCTCCCTTCACCCCCTCCACCCTTCCCTATTTACAAAGACTTTGTTTCCATTTTTTTCTTTTCTCATAATTTTTCCTTTCCCCTTCCCCTCCCACCACCCCCACCCCTTTGGACCTTTTCCTATTTCAAATTATCAATTTTTCATTATTAATCCTTTTAATCCTTATTTACACTTTCAGTTTCTCACTACAGAAAACTATTGGGTATTTACACATGTGTGTCCTATTTATTTCACTTAAGCATATGGCCTCAATATGCATCCATTTAGCTATAAATGATTCTAGTTTCTCATTCTTTATGGCTGAGTAGTACTCCATTGTATAAAAAAACCACATTGTCTTTATCCAGTTTCCAGTTGATGGACACTTGGGCTGTTTCCAAGCTTTTTTTTTTTCTTTTGGTCCTGGCGATTGAACTTGTGTCCTTGCACTTGCGAGGCAGGCAGCAGAACCACTGAGCTAAATCCCCAGCCTCCAAGCTTTAGCTATTATAAACTGTGCCATTATAAACATGGGTGCATATATATCGCTGTGGTATGATTCTTTTAATTCTTTTGGGAAGATACCCAGTAGGGGAATAGTTGGGTCAAATGGGATCTCTAGTCCTAGTTCTTTGAGGTATCTCCATACTGATTTCCACAGTGGTTGCACCAGTCTGCACTCCCACCAATAATGGAAAAGGATTCCTTTCTCCCCACACCCCTGCCAGCATTTGTTATTGGTTGATTTCTTGATAGCAGCCATTCTTTCTGGGGTGAGGTGGAATCTCAGTGTTGTTTTCATCTGCATCTCTCAAATGACCAGTGATGTTGAACATTTTTTCATAAGTTTATTTGCTGCTTTTACTTCTTTGTCTGAGAAATGTCTGTTCATTTCAGATGTCCATTTTTGAATTGGGTCTTTGAATTTGGGGGGTCTGATTTTTTTCAGTTCTTTATATATTCTAGATAGTAGTCCTTTGTCTGAGGTACACCTGCTAAAATTTTTTTCCCACATTGTAGGCTGTCTCTTAGCTTTGTTGGTGATTTCTCTTGCAGTGCAGAAGCTTTTTAATAAGATGAAATCCCAGTTGTTGATTCTTTCTGCTAGTTCCTGTGCTATTGATGTTTTGTTCATAAAGTCTTTTCCTATGCCAATATCTTCAAGAGTTCTACCTAACTTATCTTCCAGCAAGTTTGGTGTTTCTGTCTTAATATTTAGATGTTTAAGCCACTTCGATCTCAGTTTAGTGCATGCTGATAGGTATGGGTCTAGTTTTAATCTCTGGCAGGTTGAAATCCAGTTTTTCCAACACCCTTTATTAAATAGGCTACCTTTCCTCCAATGATGGTGGTTGGCTCCTTTGTCAAAGATGAGGTGGCTGAGTATATCTGAAGCTGTTTCTGCATCTTCTAAACTATTCCACGGATCCTTGGGTCTGTTTCTTTGTCAGTACCATGCTGTTTTTATCATGGTAGCTTTGTTTGTTTGTTTGGTTTTTGGTACCTGGGATTGAACTTTGGACCTTGTGCTTTAGAGGGAGGCAGTGGCACCACTGAGCTAAATCCTCAGCCCCTTTCACAGTAGCTTTGTAGTATAGCTTCAAGTTGGGGATTGTGATACCCTCAGCCATGTCTCTGCTGCCTAGAATTGCTTTTTCTATTCTAGGTCTCTTCTGGTTCCAAATGAATTTTTGGATTGTTTTCTCTAGTTCTGTGAAGTATATTGTTGTAATTTCAACTGGCATTGAATTAAATCTGTATAGTAGTTTTGGAAGTATGGCCATTTTCACTATATTTGTTCTTCCTACCCAGGAACAAGGGATGTCTTTCTATTTTCTTACATCCTCCTCCATCTCCTTTTCCAGAGTGCTGTAGTTTTCAGTGTAGAGGTCTTTTCCTTTCTTTGTTAGATTGATTCCTAGATATTTCATTTTTTTGATGCTATTGTAAAAGGAATTGTTTCCCTAATTTCTCTCTCAGTGAGTCTGCTATTTGTGTACAAGAAGGCTTTTGTTTTTTGAGTAATGACCTTATATCCAATGAGCTGGATTTCAATATGGCTTGGACTTGAACGTTGGAATAGGCAATATGCTCAGAGGGCTGGTGTTAGAATAGGCCTCACTGTCTGTGCTCTCCTCCACTGTTATGTCTTGTACCTAGCTGTGCCCCCAAAGCCTCTTGTATTGATAGGCGGGGCTTTTTGGAGGTGGCTGGATCTAGGATATGGATTAAAGGTGTATGTTAACTAAATTAGTCCAATCATTGGTTTAGCGTAATTCTGAATGTGGATACTAGGAAGACTGACCCCTGGATACGGGTGGCACCAATCAATAGGCTCATAGCCTGGATAGAATAAATGGGGAAAAGAGGCCTGCAGCTTTGTTGCTTCCTGCTTCCTGTCGACCCTCCATGGACTGTTTCTCCTCTATCATGTCCCTCTGCCATGCCACCCTGCCTTGTCGCCAGCCAACTGTAGACTGAAACCTTTACAAGCTGAGAGTTGAAATTAACCTTTCTTTCTGTAACTTGTGGATGTTGCGGATTTTGTCCCAGCAATGAGGAAGTAACTAAGGCACCCACCCAGAGTTGATCTTGCCTGAGAAGCCACATCAGTTGAAGTGCTATTAACAATTTAATAAATAGAGAAATTGCTCTAGGCTGAAGAGGAAATGGTTCTCTGAAGTTTAGTCAAGAAGCTTATTTTTTTCCAGTGGAGACAATACATATACAATACCTACAATAATTGTGTTGAAGACCCTTGGGGCAGAAGCTCTGAGGTTGGAGGCGAGAACCTCTAGAGTTGTAGGATCTGTGAGAGGTCTTTAGGGTTTCTTGCCTTAAAGACATTTCTTTCTTTTCTAACTGGACCGAAAGAAGTCTTGCCAGGTTGAAATGGACTTGACTGCTCCTGACCTATAGTTGCTCTCAGGTTCTTTCCCTTGCTGATTAGAAGTATGGATTGTGCTTAGTGTACGGTAAAGACCTCTTATGTTCTTGGTACTCAACACAGCCTCATGCTGTAAGAGTGGTTGTTTAGCAACTCCATTCCACCAGCTCCCAACATTTATTGAGCACCTTTTGTATTTCAGAGTTCCACTAAGTGTTAGCTTGATCACAAGCAATGGATGGAAGGCACAGAGGAAGCCAGGAGGGCTACGACTGCTCAACCAATTCTTAAGAAGACCCCAGCTGTGGGATTAGATCACCAGATTGTGGGATTCTTGGCGATCCCAGTGAGATCACCTCTGGCTGCAGGAATCTAGTTGGTGAAAAAGCATTTTTTTCTCCTTTCTTTGCTTCAACCTTCAGGCTATCTGTGCTGTTCTACCCACTCATGTAATTCAGGCACTGCACAAAAGACCTCACTAAATGTTGGGGTAGAATTCAGCCTGTTCCCTGTTCACTTGCTCTGTGCTCTGAGGAAGGGCTGTGCTTGCCATGGGGTGGGATACCCTTTTCGTTCACATAGAGGTATGCACAGGTTAGCAAAGACTAGGAGTTCTGCCCACTAGACCTCAAGGAGGTAAAGGAACCAATGGCATGTTACCTTATGTTACCAGATGCAGAAAAAATTTCTGGGCTTCTTAAAAGCTATGTTGGGAATACAAAGTATGTGTGCACTCACACACACACACACACACACACACACACTTCTCTGACTTTCGGATCTATTTTTTATTTGGAGAAGCAACTATATTTTTATTTTGGGGAAGAATATGTTAATAGCCAAAATGTTTAATAATTTTTGGTAAAAATTGTAGCTTTCAGTTACTGAGTGCTGACTCTGCAGGTGTGAGACAGGTCACAAAATTCTTGCTGTGAGCATTTCTCCCCAGTTCTTGTGCTTTGCGGCCTGTGTTATCACTTTCTCACACATGGCCACCTGCTCAGTCCCCAGGCTTCTCCCTCGGAATGAGCTGCCTTTCTGAACAGATGGGGTTCAGGAGAGAATAACAGGCCTGTGCTCCCCATTGGTAACTACTGAAGATGGCATCCAGGCAGTGTCTAGGGGTGGGCACAGCTGGATCCAGAGGGAAAGTCTTGGCTTGTAGAAAAGTTAATGGAAGTAGCTCCTCAATTAGTGGGGCTGACGGTACAAGCATCTAGGGAAAGAAGAGAAGGACTAAAAAATAGTGTTATTTAAACTTCCACCCTTTTCTTGGGAAACATAAAATCCTTCATGGAGCACTGCAACTGAAAGAGAAATAGCTTTGTGATGTGACATGCCTGGGACAAAGGTGAGGCCAGTCCTTCTGCTTCAGCACAGTTCACATCTGTGCTAATTCAGGACAACTGGGCTATCCCCAGCTCCTAGCTGATGTCTGCCTCCTGTCTTTGGTAGGAGAAACAAAGGGAGCAAAGACCTAGGGGTCAGTGCTTTCCTCCTCCCACTGCACAGCCCGTGCCCCACCCCGGCCCCCCGTAGTCCTCAGAGGCACTGAAGGAGCCTGCAGCCATCAACACCTGTCAGATTCGGGGCCAAAAATTTCATCATGTGGTACCTGGCTGGGGTGTCAACAATGTCATGATTTGGCCATTTTTGGGGAAAGATTGAACTAGGCCTGGGCACTGCTTTCAGTGACAAATATTCTTTAAAAGCACAGATGCTCCTGTTCTTACCACGAGGTCCCCCTAAACTCATCTTGACCTGAAAACATTGCAAACTGAAAATGCATTTCACGCACCAAACCTAGCAAGCCTCACAGTTTAGCAACACTCTGCAGTATCTATTGTCTCCCTCTCTGATGCACGGTTGGCTGGGAACTGTGGTTTGTTGCAGCTATCCAGATCACAAGAGAGTAGCAGACTGCATGCATATCGTTAGCTCAGGAAAAGAGAAAAAGTCAAACTTTAAAGTATGAGTTGTGTGGAATGTGAATCATTTTGCATGATTCTAAAGTTGGAAATTGTGAGTCCAGCTATGCTCAGCTGGGGGCTGTCTGTGAGTTGGCTTGTTCACAGGCGTCTGTGCCCACAGGGCACTCCAGCCTTGCAGGCACCTCACACCCATGTTGATCACTGGCTCTCCAGGGAAAGAAGTGACAATTTCAATGGGAAATGCAGAACTGAGCTCTCAAGGGATTTCCTTATAAATCAGTATGAAGAGTTTACTGGAATTTTTTAAAAGATAAAATGTTTGTTTTTCCTTGAGAATTTGCTACCCAAAAGCAGCTGTCATCATGTGTTCTGGGAGGGCAGAAGGAGAGGAGGGGACGGTGTACAAGCCAAACGCACACTAATATTGCAGCCCCAGATCCCATGGTGGCTCAACACTGGGATCCTGGAAGGAAAGCATCAACACTGTGAACGGGAGGCTGTTTGGGAAAGTCCTGGGCAGATTCAGGGCCTCAGGAGTATTGGAGCAGACTAGCTTTATTTATGATTAAGTGGAATTTCTTCCCATGGCAGATAAGGAAGAGATCAGACTATAAGAGGTGTTTTAAGATTTTCTGAAGCTGGGTGTGGTGGTGCACGCCTGTAATCTCAGCACTCTGGGAAGCTGAGGCAGGAGGATGGAAAGTTCAAGCCCCTGTCTTGGAAAGAAAGAGAGAGAAAGAAAAGAAGGAAAGATTTTATGAACTGAAGTATTACTCATTTTTAAGAGAGGTTAGCTTTTGAACCTGACCTTAATAATGTGAGTGGTCTGTTTCAGGAATACATGCTGAATAGATAGCCATAACTAGACTTAAAAGACTAGACTCATAATTAGACTCACAAAACTAGACTCAAAGTAATGGTCAGAACTCCTTGGGCTCACCCTTGCCCTACAGGTGGTATCATCACAAAGCTGATTTTGGACTTCTTTCAAAGTCCTTCAGAAAATAAAATTTTAGAATATATGGGTAGGAACAGTTGAGGGAATGTGGGAATAGAAAAGAAACTAAAATAAATCAAACATATGTTAGCATGTTAGAAAATGAAAAATGTGATTATGAATAATACTACTGTGTAATTTGCTTGTGAATACAGTGTCATGATTTTTATGGGCCTGCATACATATATTCTATATGGTCCTAGTGAAAATTCCTTGTGGTCATCAGATTGAAAGTGACTGTTCTGGAAATTGACCACAAGTTATTAGGTGCTAAGTATCTTTTCCCCCTTTACTTAAGAAATTAGTACAGCAAATCAAATTTCTTGTCTTTTTTTGGCACTTGGTGCAGAAGGGACAAGGACTCTCTCTTTCTCAACCCACTTGGAATTCTGGGGCAGAACTGGAGAGGCAGCCTGCATGTCAGTGGGGACCCTATGGTGGCAGTGACCTAGCAAGGGCTAGACACAAACAATGGAAGAGGGGATACACCCCAGAAGGACACTAATTCATGGGACGTATCTGTCGCTGAGTCAGGAAGTGTCCGACTGGGGATGAAACAAATGATTTCATGCCTTCAAATATTTTCCAGTGGAAACATGAATCACTGGCTGGGCCAGGCTCTGCCTGCCCTATGTTGCTGTGACACCATTCTTGGTGGTGTCACCTACATGGGAGCCATCAAGACGCTGAGAACCAAAGGAGAGAGTGGAGGACAAGTGCCTTGAGTGTCCCGTTTGATGATATATTGTCCTTTGGGTAGGAGATCTAATTCCTCTCTCATTCCTTCACTTTCAGGTGTCCTTCCCTGCCATGAAGTAGGGAGAAGGGAGAAAAATGAGATATTCTTTCACAGGCATTCAAATAATTTCAGTGGCCTTTTGGAACTCAAGTGAGAGAGAACCATGGAATTTTGTTCTGATTGAGAGTGAGGGGAAGGGTAGCATTAGGAGACAATCATGAGGGTTGGAGGTTTGCTATCAGTGTGCTTGCTGTAAGGAATGGGAAATGGGGAAGCAAGAGCTCTGGAGTCAGATAGAACATGGGGGTGAATCCCAGCATCACTGTTCATTCTCCCAGTTGCGGTTTTTAACCTCAGATCCCTAACACACAATGTGGAGACTCTGCTGCTGGAATCCAGATAAGTGTCCCCTACAGGCCAGTGTGTTGAAGGCTTGGTCATCTATCTGTGGCACTACTGAGAGCTGATGGAATCTTCAGGAGGTGGAGTCTGGTGAAAGAAGTTAGCCATTGGGTTGGGCTCTTGAAGGGGATATTGGGACACAGCCCCTTCCTGTTTCTCCTTTTCCTCCTGGATGCCATGAGGTGAGCAGTTTTTTTCTACCATGCACTCCCTCCATGGTGTTCCTCTTCACCATAGGCTTCAAAGCAATGCAGCCAAGTGGTCACAGATTGAAATCTCTGAAACTGTGAACCAAAACAAACTTTACCTTTTTAAATTTAATTGCTTCAGGTATTTTTGTCAGTGATAAAAAGCTGACTATCACAGCTGCCTACTGCCAGACTGTTTCACAGAGTAAATGGAATAACATGACATCAGTGAAACACAGTGGCAGCTCAGTAAGTGTTACAAATCAGTGATGTCATAGGTGCATTCAAATCTTGAAAATTCAGCAATCTAAACTTGCTCTGGAAAGGCTTGGAAAGGAGTCAAAGTTAAAAATGTAGGTAGTTCCAACTTGTTTCAGTGTCTTGCTCAAATAAGGCAACTTGGACCTCTCTTGAGTTTATCCATCATCGGCTCAGTGAGCTTGTGGTTTGTTGGTGAGCATCTGCTGTTCCGCAATGAATCTTCCTCCTAGCATAACCATCTCATCCTGCTAAAGCCACGCTGATTAGTAAAGCACATTTCTGGATGTTTCTGGATGAGTCATGGAGCATGACCTTGAGAACCATATCATTTCTTAGTCCTTTCCTTGTTGATGGTTTTTCCAATCAGCTCTTCCTGGGTGCCATAAAATGAGCAGCTTCATTCCACCAGGCCCTTCTGTCATGATGTTCCTGCCTTACAGCCAGCCCACTATGGACTGAAACTTCTGAAACCATGAGCCAAGTAAAAACCCCCTCCAACTTTAAGTTGTGGGTATTGGGTATTGTGTCCTGGAAACAGGAAAGCTGACTGATGCCGATGCTCCAGGTATCTCAAAGGCCTGGTCCCAGGGTGTGCCTTTGGGGAGGTGGTGGGAATTTAGGAGGTGGAACCTTATGGGAGGTTCCAGCTTCTCTTTCTCTTCCTCTTTTGCTTCCTGGCTGATGAAATGACCAGTTTTTCTCTGCTACACTCTTCCACCATGATGGACTGCCTCACCACAGGTCTAAAGCAGTGATGCCAAATAAACCATGGACTGAAACTTCTAAAACTGTGTGCCAAAACTACCCTTTTCTTTATATGTTATTTTCTCAGATATTACATTATAGTGATGGAAAGCTGGT